CATATCCTTAAAGAATGTTGATGGGATCTGGATTGGGATTGCATTGAATGTATAGATTGCTTTGGGTAGAATTGACATTGTCACAATGTTCAATCTTCCTATCCCTGAGCATGGGATGTTCTTCCATTTATGTAGATCTCTTATGGTTTCTTGAAGTAGTTTTTTATAGTTACAGGTCTTTTGTGTCCCTGGTAAGATTTATTCCCAAGTATTTTATTTTTTTGGTAGAAAGCTATCACTTTAAAATCCAAAATGGTTGCCACTTGTAAAAATTCAAAATGGCTGCACCCTTGGTCAATTTAACTATCCAAAATGGCTGTACCCTCCTCATGGTGGAAAGTCAGCAGCTCAGGTTGTCTCCCTCCTTGCTGTTTCCCTTCCTAGTCATAGGCCACCAGCACAGTTGTCCCTGCAGCCCTTGGTGATCAGGGTTGATCTTTAGGTCAATTCTCAGGTCCTAACACCACTTGGAAATAGTTAGGCTGTTGGTTCCATCAGAGTAGCTGACTGTGCATAGCTCCGACCGTCTCTGTACTCACTGTTTTTGTTCAGGTTTTCCCACTAGTTGGCACAAGTATTCTCTTACTTCCTCCTCTTAGTTATTTCTTCCCTGTGTCGTCCTCTCCATTCACTCCTGCCCCATGAGCTGAAAGCTTTACCCCATCCACATCATTAAGGTTGAATGTACTTTGAAGAGCCAGCTATTGACCAGTTGTATTTTGTGTGCCTTCCCACCTGAGGAGCCCTTTTTCTGGTAGTTTATCAGACAGTGTTTCTCTGGTATTCATGAGTTTCAGTGGCTGATTTATTCAGAAAAAAATTGTACCTGCTGATACTATGTCTGAAGTACATGAGATGAAGTCTCTGTCCTTACTTCTAAGGGGCATTCTGACTGTACTCCTAAGACAGATTTTTTGTTCTTCTGGCAGTTAATGGTATATATTCAGTGTTCTTTGCCAGCGCCATAATTAAGATGTATCAGTTCTTCTTTGGTCTTCCTAATTCATTGCCCAGCTTTAGCATGCATATAAGGTGATTGAAATACCATGGCTTGGGTCGTCAGTTGCAGCTTAGTCCTCAAAGTGACATCTTAGCCTAGCTTTTTCTTGAAGTGATTCATTGCTACTTAATGTTATCTCCAAGTTTTGTGGAATATACTATAAAAGAAGAAAAGAAGTTTAGATTTACTTCTAAAATGCCAAAAGGTAGAGGAGAAAGAATAGGATTTGGAGATAGGATATTAAAACAGTGAGCTATTTTTGTGCCTAGGAGAGAAGCTTGAATGTGAAGTTTGAAGATGTGTCTGAATTTGTTCTTTGGACAGTGCAGTTTGCAGTCCAGTTCCAGCTTTCTGGTTACAGATTTACCTTCTCTAAGTGTCATATTTCCATTAGTTTTTATTTAGTACTCAAAATAATGCAGTTACTTGGGATATTCATGCATTGTTTTTTGAATTCACTAGAGGATAGTAGAAAATGAGAAGATTAATGCTGAAAAGTCATCAAAACAGAAGGTGGATCTCCAGTCTTTGCCAACTCGTGCCTACCTGGATCAGACAGTTGTGCCTATCTTATTACAGGGCCTTGCTGTGCTTGCAAAGGAGAGGTAAGATAATAGTATCTGCAAATAGAGTTGCCATAGAAAGCAAAATCATTGTAACATTGTTAGTTATGTATATTATTTTTTACTGTGTAAATAATTTATGGAGATTAATTTTTTTTAAAAGAATCAACCATAATCTCAGATATTTTCATTTTTTTCTACTAGTCTTAAGTCTTAAGGATATTTCTAAAGATTTATAATCATGACATATATGTAATTTTGTATCTTCCTTTATTTAGTATAACAATTTTTTCATATTTCTCCATTGTCTTTGCGATTATGATTTAAATGATAATAGTACTATTTTTCCATTGTTGAACATTGAAGTCCAGTTTTGTTATTATAGGTCACCTGACAGTTTATTTTCATTCCTCTAACTTTTCCCTTTGTTTAAAATTACTTTCTTACAGTAAATGCCTCAGAATTGGCTTACTAGTTTAAAGGACATGGGTATTTTTCTGGTATTTGACATATAATGTCATATATCTGGGAGCTCTGGTGGCATAGTGCCTAAGGCATTTGACTGCTAACCAAAAGGCTGGTGATTCAAACCCACCAGCCACTCCTCAGAAGGAAGATTGGGCAATCTATTTCTGCAGTACCGCCTCAGAAGCCCAAGGAGGGGTCACTGAGTCAAACTGACTCCATGGTAGTGAGTTTGGTTTGGTTTTGGTCATATTTCTGCACAAAAGTTTATCCTTAAAATTCTCTCATTGTTACCATAGTGCTAGTGACATTGCTACAAACTTTTTTGCCAATTCGTTTTAATTTCCATGTCTTATTAGCAAGATTACAGTTATTTGTCTTTTTCTCCATATTTTCACCTGGTAATTCTCACTGAAGTTCTTTTTGTGTCAGTAAATCCAACAAGATTTTTTTTTTGTAAATTAGGTTTGTCAACATTTATTAGGTGTGTATCATGTTCTATTCAAAATATAATGATGAACATTGTAGAAAACTGACAAATTGATAAAGAACTTGATGGAAATATGTTTTTATTGATTTAGAATATATTCATATAAAAATTATATCAATAAATGAAATGTATTGTTGATTGTTATATTTATAGGATTTATTATGTCTATGAAGTAATCTGGGCTCTGACTACTGACAGTTAAAATATAGGCATCTTTTATCTTCCTGATTCTAATTATTTTCTTCCTTTAAAGAAAGCTAAATGTATTAGGAATAGTAAATATTACATTAAATGTTGAAAGAAAAAAATCTGAAGAAATTTTGAAGAGTGTGTTATCAGTCAATGAAGTTTTTAAGTAAAAAGTCCAGACAAATAATTTGTCAACTGAACTCTAAAATACTATGTGAGAAAAGTATATGTACACAGCTCAAAAGGGCTGTTTTAAATGGCAAGAGAAGGCTTTATCAGTTTTCACTATACCTTTTGATAATAGAGTCTAAAAATAGATCTTTTCCCCAACTTTTTGTCTTTGGACTTGTTTTCTCAGCAAGAATATATAAAAGTGATGTGAAATTGTGCCTCTTGTTTTTTTTTTTTAGTTGTGATTTGAGCAATCACATCTTTTTCTGTTTACAGAGCAAATTCACTTTCCATACAGCAGTTCACATACACTTTGTCTCATGACATTTACTATAATTTACCACAATGCAGCGGCTCCCCACCTACTTCTTCCTCATAGTTACCTCTTCCTGTGTCCTTCCCTCAATGTACTCCTGCCCCATGAGCTGCTCCCTGTGCATACACAGCCCTTCTATTGTCCCATTAATGTTCTCTCCAAGGAATGTATCTACCCAGTGTAAATATTCACCGCATATGCCTGTCTTTTGTTTGGCTGGAAGCCACAGGTGTGGGTTCAGTTCCAGACCTGAAGGGCAACTAGGGGCCATAGTCTCAGTGTCCATCAGGCTCTATTAGATCAGCAAAGCTGGTCCCTTTTTTTTTTTTTAGTACTATTTAATTTTGTAAGTGTATTTAAATTTCTGAGGTATACCATGTGATAGCATCATTAGAATTTGTTGGTTTAAATTATTTGGAGAAAAATATAAGGAACTGTTTAAAATGAAAAATAACAGAACTTGTTCAAATGAGTGTTGCTTCTTTTGATTACACAATCAGTAATGCGACATCCATTGTCCTTTGTACCTTTATTGTACGATAATATATTTACTGAAAATTAAGCAAATCATAAGTGTATAACATGATGGTTTTTGACAAAACAAACATATACTCATGTGACCTGTACCCATATTAAGAAACCAAACATAACCAGTACCCATGAAAACTCCTTTGTGACTCTTTCAAACCTTATTTGTGACTCGTCATTATTTTCACAAGGTAATCATCATCTCATTGTCAGTATATATTTGAAACTTGTGATACAGAATTGACCTTATAACCATGTTTAAATTTTAAAAAAATTTTAGATTGTTTGAATTATATTATGTTATTGGCTGACTTGCTTGCCTATCTCATTTACCATAATATTTGCTACCAATGGCCTTTGACTGTAAAATGAAAATTAAAACTTAAACAGATGTGTTTTAATTATGAGACTGTGTTTAACACATCTAGAATATAAATTTCTAAACTTTGGATTTCTTTTCCCTTACAGACCACCAAACCCTATTGAATTTCTAGCATCATATCTTTTAAAAAACAAGGCACAGTTTGAAGACCGAAACTGACTTTTTGGGAAGAACAGAAAAATTGGTTGCTCTATACATTTACATGATTAAGAGGCAGTTTTAATTGCCATGATTTTTCCCCCCTTTTTGGAAGTATAAGGACCTTCAGGACCACACAACTTAATTCTGGAGTTGCAGAAGAGAACATATTTACTTTATTTTGATTTAATCACAATACTTATTTAATGAATGTATTCTGTGCAATTTTTTTTTCTCAGATGGTCTTTAACTTTTGCTTTTAAAATGACCTTCGAAATAAATAGTTAAAATACCATTATTTTAAAGCAGTTTTTGTTCTGTATTTTATATGGTTGAATTGTTTTCACAAATGACTTCTTTCTTGTGTCCTAGAGTGTTGCAGAGTTTTACAAGAGTGAAAATACAGCAGAGCCAAGTATAATGTAACAAATATCTCAGCCATTTTTCCTCTATGTTGTTTCTGGACCTCTCTGAGGGTAGGATCCAGGCATCATCTTTTTGTTAACAAACATCACAGCTGACTCTAATGTACAATAAAGTTGGAGTACTAATATAAGCATTGCAAAGGGTTATAACAACCCTCCAATGCTATCAATTTTTATAGTAATAATATAGTAATTATCATTTATTGAAGACCTACTATGTTATCAAGAATGGTACTATTTCATTTTTATTATCTGTAATTTAGCAGCTCTGCCAAGTAGATACTATTCCCATTTTGCAAATAAGGAAACAGACTTGGAGAGGTTAAATGGCTTGCTCAAGACCACACTGCTGGTAAGTGCTTGAAGGAGAATTCAAACGCAGGTCTAACAAGGTGCTGCTAATAGCTAAATGAGAAGTATTTGTGCTACTTAAGTTCATTACTTCTCTTACCAATAAAAAAACAACAGCTAATCTTTCCTTTTTTTTTTGAGAGGGAGGTAGTAACATTTGTCCCCTCCTAAGAAATGTAACTCACTAGCTCAGGATAGAGAACACTCTTAGAGAGCCAGGCAGGAAAAACATTCATTAGAGGATTAGTTTTCAACTGGGAATCATTTTGCCCTTCCCCTACCCCACATTTGGTGACATCTGGAGGCACAACTGGAGTGAGGTGGGTCCTACTGGCATCTAGTTGGTAGAGTCCAGAGATGCTGTTACACATTACAAATGCACAGGATGGCTCCTGTGGGTCCCTCCCCACCCCAATATTTATCCAGCTCAAAACGTCAGTAGTGCCAAGGTTGAAAAGCCCTGTATTAGAAGTGTACTAAAGACTTGTTATCTCCTGGCTAAAAACATCAATGCCTTTGCAAAATTAGAAATTAAGAATTAATGCCAACAAGTTATGTCTTTACATCTTAGAGTTCTGTTTAAGACAGACATAACTTGGGGAGTTGATATTACGTGTTTTTGTATTACACATCTATATATCTGAATAGTAAAAACTTGGAAATATTGGGGTCCCTTGTTTATATAAGGAACCCTGGTGTGCATTGAGTTAAGAGATCAGCTACTAAGCAAAAGGTTGGCAATTCAAACCCGCACAGCTTCTCTGTGGGAGAAAGAACTAGTGATTTGTTCTTGTTAAGATTACAGCCTAGAAAACTCTGTGGGGCAGTTCTATTCTAACATGGAGTTGCTATGAATGAGACATGACTTCACAGCATCTAATAACAATAACCTGTTTGTTAGAAGTTTTCACAGTATTCTACCAAATTTATTTTGGTTTGGCTGTGTCATAAGTTAATCCATTCAGCCTTTTAGTTGTATTTTACCATCTGGTAAGTACTAGTTAGGTGATCTCTTATTAATCTTAAAGAATACATACTTGGTTCCTGAAAGCCTGATCCAGTTTGGGATAGAGCCTGGGCTTGTGAACTCTCTTAAGGCATTGTGATACATATTTCTGATTAATGAAAAAACAAAAAACCAGTTGCTGTCGAGTTGATTCTGATTCATGGTGATGCCATGTGTGTCAGAGTAGAACTGTGCTCCACAGGGTTTTCAATGCTGTGACTTTCTGAAGGAGATTGCCAGGCTTTTCTTCCAAGGTACCTCTGGGTGGGTTTGAACCGCCAACCTTTATAATTTCAGTTTTGGAAGTATAACTGCTAACTGCTGCATCACTTCTGATGCTCTATTGAATTATCTGTGGTATAGGGGTTAAATTACTCAATACTGAAATTGATACTTTTTGCATAAGGGCTGAGATTAGGTATGTCTTCTGCTGGCCAGTCTACATGCCATTTATAAGTACATACCATGTGCCAGGCACCATGCTAAATACTTTACATGGATTGTCACGTAATCCTTACAACCATTTTTAGGTGACGAAGCTCAAATTTGGTTAAGTTACAGAGGTAGCAAATTGGGGATAGGGATTTAAACCCAGTCTGCTTGTGTAGAAGATGAGTTGTCATTAAGTAGACTGACTTGTGATGACTCCATGTGTTTTAGAGTAGCACAGTGCTTTATAATTTTTTTTTTTTTAAATTTATTTTTTGTTCTTGTTGAGAATATACACAGCAGAACATATACCACCAGTTCAGTAATTTTGACATGTACAATTCAGTGACATCAATTACATTCCAAGTTGTACAGCCATTTTCACTCTCCTTTTCTGAATTGTTCCTCCTCTATTAACATACTCATTGGCCCCTGTCTTTCTTTTGAGTTGCTGTTGTCAGTTTGGTCTCACCATAGGGCTTTCAATGGCTGATTTTTTGGAAAAAGATCTCCAGATCTTCCAACATGCCTCTGGGTGGACTTGAACCTCTGACTTTTCAGTTAGCATCCAGATGTGTTAACCATTTGCACTCTCAGGGATTTTTGCTGATGTAGACATTATGCTTAAGGTATGTGTAAAATGTCAGTGTGTCCTTCTATCCTTATGTATTTGTATTAGAAACATTCTTACGTGGCTGGTAATTGAGTACCTGAAGCATCTGACTGCTAACCAGAAGGCTGGCAGTTCAAATCAACCAGCCACTCTGCGGAAGGAAGGTTGGGCAATCTACTTCTGTAGAGATACCACCTCGGAAACCCAAGGAGGGATTGCTATGAGTTGAATCAACATCAGTGAGTTTAAATTTTTTAAGTTTTTATATATTGTAAACATTTTTTTTTAAACTCAAAATATATTAATATATATAAGCAATATTTTTATTTCAGTCTTTTTTTCCCTTGGGTATGTTATCTTTGATTGGAATTCAGCACTGTCTTTTTTCTACAGACCACACCTATAATTCATGGTCTACAAATTTCAGTCAAATTTTTTGAAAGTGGAGCAATATCTTAGACATTTAAGAATTAATTTGTAGAATCCTAGATCGTTTTTTGTGATTTTTAAAATTCAATTCAGTCCTCTTGTTTGCCTCTAATTTGACCCACTGACTGCAAATCAAGTCAATTCTGACTCACAGTTAGTCTTAGGACAGAGTAGAACTGCCCAGGGTTTCCAAGGCTGTAAATCTTTAGAGAAGTAGACTGCCTCATCTTTTTCCCCAGAGTGGGTGGTAGGTTCAAACCACCAGCCTCTTGGTTAGCAGCTGAAAGCTTTAACTACCATTCCACTAGAGCTCCTCTAATTTGACAGTTGTTTTTATTGAGTCTTTCAGAAGCATTCAACCTATTTTTTGAACAAATACCCTCCTCATTACATGTTTGTATATCATTGGTTTATGTAATATTTAATTGAATTATGGTAGCATAGTGGCTAAGACACTTGCCTGCTAACCAGA